CACACAGCTATCCATTTGGGGACATACCATTGACTTCCATTACATTTCTACAGCCTAACCCTGACCACAAACCCTAAGGCTAACCTCACAGATACCTACCTGACCCTAAAACTAACCTAAACTCAATTCAAACCTTGGTCCTAAACCCAACCCCCAACCCACCAATGGCATTTAAACCAAATGGGGACTCGACTTTTGTCCCCGAAGTGCACCACTTGTCCCCAAAGGAAGGCATTTTGTCTTAAAATTGTCCCCAAATGTCACCAGAAACAAACCCACATACACACTGAATGACTATCCTCTGCATCTTAAAGCAGCATTTAGTTGAGAAATTTCCCATGAAACCAGTCTGTCCTGTCTTGTGTATGTGGAGCACACAACTGCAGGCAGGCGGCTGGAGCTCAGCTGATCATTTGATCCACCCCAGTTTGTCTCAGAACCACTGAACTGAATGACAGAGACGCTGATGCTCAGTGGGCAGCCATGGGAAATGTTTCCTTTGGCCAAATTGTAGGTGTTCACAAATCTCAGTGGACACCTCAGGATTACTGTAACTCCATGTGCAGCAGTGCAGCTTAGGGCTGGATGTTCCTTCAGTCCAGTGAGTCACGTCTAGCTGAAAAGCACTGTTTGCTGCCAGACTGTGGTTACCGTGATGCCTGCCTGAATCAGCAGTTTCCAGCTGAGACGCACGTTAGGACATCGACTTAAAAGTACTAACAGACAGGCAGAGAGATGTTTGAGTCATTCAGTAATTTAGAAATTGTACCTCGAATACGTTTTTTTAAACGAATATTGCTCTTTATAACAAAGAGGTGATTTGTGTCAGAGCTCTGTCTCTGTAGCAGCCAGGAGTTATATGACAGGAGTTATATGACGTCTTGCTTCTCGTAGACGTTATGCACCTTTGACACGTCTTGCTCCTTTATGACGTCTTGCTTCCTGGACATGTGTTGCTCCTTCACAACGTGGTGCCACACCTGTGTGTTTCTGTCAAAGTTCAAAAAAGTCACTTATTACGAGAAAAAAAATTATGCTGATGCAGGTGTAATGATTAAAGTGGAGCAACAGGAACTTTCTGTAATGGTTTAAAAACAAACTTAAACCTGAGTTTTAGCCTGTTTTTTTAAAAAATCGTAATCATCCCTCAGTGACTGCTCTGAGCAGCTGGTGWTAAACTCATTTATTCCTGATGGATGACAAACGTGTGTGGACTGTATCAGGACACTGTGTTCATAACCTGTATACCTGTGCCAGTATAATATTACAGACATGAATGGTTAGAAGTTATTGGATATCCTCCTCTCAGAGTTTCTCAGGGTTCACTGAGCACAGTGATTGTTCTTTGACTATTATATATTTATTTATTGTTGCAGGAAGAAAGGCATGCTCATTGAAGGGTTGGATTTCTTGCTGCCTGAAAAAAGCTGCTCTGCTTCTGTTCTGATGCAGAACTCAGAAAAAAGGCAGCTTTCAACTCAAGTTTTAGGCTACAAAAACTGAATTGATAAAGTTTCTACATAATTTAAATATAGTGTGGGGAAAAAAACAATGTAGATCTTTTAGTTCAGATTTAAAGAATAAATCTAATTCTCCAAATTTTTCTTGAATTATTTAGAGTAAAATGAATTTAGAGTACAAAGAAAATAACTTATAATATGAGCATAAATGTATTATTTTTTATTTTTTTATTTTGGCTATTTGCAGTTCAGCACAAATCCAGATTATTACATCTTTAATCTGTACCTAGGCTCTTGTTTTAATTGCTGCTCTGTTTTTGAATAAAAGTCAGTTTATTTTTGACCAGATCTRGTAAAAAAACAACAATTTTATCAGTTTTAAAGAGATGATCTTTTCGAAGTGCATTATGGAAAATGTTAAAACTGAGAATGTGTTTAAAAATTGCAATAAAATTTAGTTTCTGCCCAGTAAATTTCAGCACATTGATGGTATTTTTTCAGGTGAAGCAGAGTTTTGATTTATGGACCGTAGAGACATTGTTGGACCTCAGTTTTATCTGTGCTGCGGTAACAGGAGTTTAACATTCCCCTCTCGTCTCCTTGTCTCCTGCTCTTTTTTTTTTCCCACTCATTGATAATTTCCCCCCATTTTTTCCTGCCTTTTTTAGGTCACCCTACGACCTCACGTTAAACATCAACTGACAGAGGGCATCTATTGCATCTTAGACCTGTGCTGGGAGAACGATATCAAGTTTCTGAAGGCCGGGCTGAATGCCGGGGTCAGAGAGGTGTTCAACGAGCTGTACGGCAGCTACACCCACTACCACAAACCACAGAGACAGGGAGAGGAGAAGTACACCGTCTGAGCCCACTGGACAAACATAATGCTGACTTCAGAGGTCAAACATGTATATTTTAGACATTTTTAAATGTTTTTGTAATATGCACATAAGATGGGATGTACACAAACCATAAACGGTTGAATTCAACACAAAACGCTCAGCGTGGGTGCGACTGAGGAAGCAGAAGCTATTAATGGTTTTCTCATGGGACAGAGACCCCAAACTGATGGAGTCAGCAGCTCATAGAAAATAGATTTTTTTATCAGCATTTTTTTAAAATTATTGGTCAAAAGAACTGGTTGTTGAAATATGTAAGAATGTACAACATGTACTTTAAATTTCATCTGTTGTCATTTTATTTTGCCCACGTTGCCTTTGAACAATAATATTTTATATACACTGTTTTCAGGGTGTTTTTGTTTAACATGCTACTCATGTTATTGTTTTGGTCCTTTTATTATCCAAGACAAATAAATATATCAAATTCATAATTATGTCAGGATGTTTGGGGTTACTGTACAGATGATTCTGACTTTTATATATCTTTAAAGGTTTTAAGAGTTTTTTCTTCTTTTTTGCTGCTGCTGTTTAAAGCAAAAAAAATTTTTGCATTGATGTGGGGTCCTGACCTCACTATGGCAGCACATACTGTAAATATTCTGTTTAATGCAGCAGGGTTAGTTTTGAACTGGTACACATCCCCTCTCACAGTATCACTTTAAATCTGTTTGCAATGTGACAAAACACCCAACTTTTGTTATAAATACAGCTTTAAAGCTGTGACAAACCACCTGCTGCTGTTCCCTGCAGCAACATGCTATGGTAAACAGTCATCTTTCATTTTGACGCCTTAGATTGGACCATCTGTTGCCTTTTCTTCTTCACATGTGAATCAGGTGCCTTTGCCAATGGTTTCACAGTAAAGTGCTTAAACTGAAGTTCATGGCTAGAAATGGAATCRGCTGTGTGCTTTTTGAATTTATTTTAATAAGTCAGATCATTAGAGATAAATGACATGAAATCAGTGTAAATAGTGTTTGCAGCTTTTATGTTATCGGAGAGACTTCAGCTTTAACCACAGTTTATTGAAGGTTAAACCATTAAACATTTTACAAACTGAATTWAAACAACACTCATCACTGGTGACAAACACACAGGGCCTTATTTTATGAAGTTTTGTTAACTTCATACGAACAGGGTGGAAACTGCACTGTCATAATTATGAACAGCATTTACTACTACTTTATATAGCCTATAGAAGTTCAGTAGTTGTGCTCAGTGGTTTACAACTTGGTGTTTTATTGACATTTACCTCCAAAAAGATTTTAAAAAGTGGAAGATTGATAACTGAAACATCTCACTGAAGCAGAGATGCCTCCTCTAGAGGGCAATGTTTACTGTCACAATCAGGATTTAATATTTATATTTTGACTTTTAGGTTCTCCACATGACAAAGTTTAGTGTTGCACATTATGCTGTCATATTCATTTGCAAGGACTAAACAGAAAATGTGTGTAAAAGCAGCCAAAGTCTTAAAAAGTACTTTAAAATATCTTCACAAAGTCTGTAAACCTACTGATTATAACCACTTTAAAAGCTTTGGCTCCTGAATGTACTGAAATTGCAATAAAATAAAAATAAAATTATTGCCACAGAAGTTTTATTTATTTTAACCAATAAAAAATGACAATGATTTTATTTAAAACAAAATAATGTGATCAAATAGCTCTTTTAAAAGTGGCACTTATAATAGATGAATGATCCACGTATATTATTGAATAAATTAAATCAATTAAATATGAGATCTGAGGTTCATACCAGGCCAGTTAAAAGCTTTTTATTTTTTACATGAAGCTTTTGTTTGCTGCATTTTAACCCAGTTTAAAGTGTCTCTGGCGCCCCCTGTCGACCCAACAAAGACACTGCAGTCGTGTCAGCGTGATTATTTCCTCTCGCTGCTCCCACAGACGAATATTTCCAACAATCATTTCCCCACAGAGAGACCTGCCTCCACCCTGAGTCCAGCCGACTTAAAGCGCGGCACAGCACGGCTCGACTCACCCCGGTTCTCCTCTAAGGGCAGCCCGAGCCGGTGTTTGATTGGATTAGAGTCGGGTTTTATAGTCTTTGCCCTCTAACCCCGCTGATGTTGGCGTGCTGCTGCTTCCTGCTCCCTCGGCTCCCCCTTCGCTGCTGACTGAACGAAGCCGCACGCAGAAGCTCCCCGCGCGAACACGGCGGACCGGGAAGAGCTGCTGCCGCTGCTGCTTCATCCCGAGGAGGAGGAGGAGGAGGAGAGCCGCGAAAGCAAACGACGAAACCCTCACAGCCATGCGGAGGAAATCGAGAATATTGCTGTGTTTCGCGGTGCTGTGGGTCCTGGGAATAGCCTACTACTTCTATTCGGGGACAGCGCTGAGTCGAAAGGTAGGATTCCCGTTCTTCGACCGCTTTTTTCCCCCTCTGGGTGCTCGGTCCACCCCGGAGGCTACGGCTCGTTCCGGGACAAAGCGAAGATGTGATTTCTCGCTGTTTTGCCTCGGAGGTTTGTGGTTTGTGTATTTTTATGGCTTCACGATGCTGTGAGCAGTGTGATAAAAGGCCTGCTAGTATCTGTGGGCAGGCATTGATTTGGTGGAGATAAGTACGGACAGGGGCTGCGGGGTGGCTCCTCTGSCCGGTCGGGGTGCACAGACACCGGGTGCCGGGGATCGCCTTCCCCCGGGCGGGCAGCCGGAATGGACGCACGCTCAGACCGGGGCAGATGGTGGGGAGACTCTGCGGTGGTCATGCCGGTTAATTAGTGAACATAACACCATAATAATGCAGATAAGTGTTTTTAATCTGAACGTGCCGGCCTGGTTCTCAGGGCCCGCAGAGCGCGAGCACGTCAGCACGAGCGGCTGAAGCAAAGATCAGGAAGTGTTCAGCTTTAAATCACTCCTGTCACAATCAGGGGTTATCCTCTAAAGGTGGCCTCAGACATTTCCATTAAACACTGTCTGAGCAACGTGGCTGGTCTGCTCATGTCAAAGCCACTATTTTTTTAATTTAATTTTACTCTCCAGTTTCTCATTGTGAGCTAAATGAAACTGCTCCACGTTGATGACTGGAATAAAATCAGATTAATTTAGGTTAAAAGTGATAAAAAAAATATCCTGATTGTGGCAGTCACACACATTTTATTCATATAAATCAAGCTCAAGTGCTTTTCTGAACACCATTCCAACATAAACAAAAAGTTGGACAAAATAAAATGTCAACTTGAAAGCCGAGGTCTACTTTCTGACATTTCTTAGATTACTTGAGTTTTCACCTGGAAGACTAATCAATAATGAAGGTGACAGGTATTTGCAGCCATATTAGAAACACCTGAGCGTGGTAGAAATGAACAGCATCACAAACTACAGGCTCTGAAATGACCCCTCTGACCTTTGGGACTTGCTGCAGTGTTGATCRGATTAGTTTATCCAACAAACAAGGTGTTTTTCCTCAGATGTATGTGTACTAATATACTGAGCAAAAAAAGTAAGGAAAATTGTGTTTGGTAGATTATTTCTGTGGTGTAACAATGCTTCCTGGCAATAAATCTTATATCGATAGAAAGCCTTTTTAAATTGTGCCACATTTGTAAGGAACATGCATTTTGTGAGATGAGCAGAGATTTGCCCAATTCGTCTCTGACATTACCAAACAGCATGTTTTGCTATTGATTAGGGCTGCAACAATTAATCGATTAATCGACGACTAATCGATTATTAAAATAATCGATGACTAATTTAATAATCGATTAATCATCTTCCTTTTTTTTCTTTTTTTTTTTGTTCTTTACTTTGTTTTTCTCTCCAAACTGCTTTGACACCTTCCACTGCCACATCTGCCTTTCTGTCCTTGACACACATGCACAGTAGTGGTAACWGGGGTAGGCCGTGGACGTCACAAGACATTATACAGACAGGCTCTGGTATCATGGCTACCCAGCAACGCAGCTCAAAAGTGTGGGATCATTTTAAGAAAATGAAAGAGAAACCTGTACAATATCTGCAGAGCAGAACTTACCTTCCACAGCAATTTTTAGTTAGCATATAGCTAAAATCTAACGATGGTTATATAATAGCAGCTGCATTCTGGCACAATAAGCTGTATGTTTTATATTCAATTAACGTATGATCTGATTAGTCGGCTAATCGAAAAAAAAATCGATTATTAAAATAATCGTTTGTGGCAGCCCTACTATTGACACATGTTTTGAGCTTCTGGTACCTCCAGGTGCTGCCACTCACGTGCCCGCTAAAAGTTTTATTGCCAAWAAGCATTGTTACAACAAAGAAATATTCTACCAAACACAAAATGTCTTACTYTTTGTGCTAAGTTTCGTTTGTGAGCTGTGGACTCTGTAAAGCCTTTCATAATAACCCCAGCCTATATTTGATTTGACAGATGTGCAAACTGAACGTCCTGCAGGTGTTCAGATGTAACGCAATACACAACACCTGTGTAGACGTGACTCTGTGCACCCTGTTGTGAATAAAGTGCTGTAAATGGGTTGCTTCCATCACCCCTCTTGATGAGGGTGTGTGTGTGTGTGTGTGTGTGTGTGTGTGTGTGTGTGTGTGTGTGTGTGTATCCTGTGTGTATCCCACCTGCCGCCTCTCTTGTCCTATCTGTCCCTCTGTGTTTGCTTTGCTCCAGTCAACCACAGCAGCCCTTTTACTCTTCCATTAGGCTGATAGCTCTGCTTGCTGTGTGTTTTGTTTATTTGAGGTTTGTAGCGGCAGGTCAAAGTAACACACTGTGATAAGCAACTTTCTCCGAGCGACATTAATATGGATGATGGGGCGCACCTTGCCAGGTGTCTTTACACAGAGAGGGACAGTTATCTGTTTAAACAGCAATGCTGCTGCTGCTCAGGTAGAGGGCTTGTTTCATGTTGCACCCTCCTTCTCTTTCAGCCAGGAGAAACCTTTGTCAACAAGCTTGTTAGAAAAAAAAAGGACAAAAATAGTTGATAGTAAACTTTAACTCAAGGTAAATTATTATTATTAGTAGTGTTGTATCAGTGCCATAACCAGTAATAATATATATTTTTTACAATTTTAATCATTTTAAATAGGGATGCACCGACATGAAAATTTCAGCCGAAATCAATATCCGATATAATTATTGCTGCTACGGCCGATAACCGATATTTACCGATATTACACAAACACACAAATTATATTATACATATACGCACAAACTCACTGGGGTCTTTTTTTGTTGTTGTTGTTGATACGGTAAATAAATGACATGGCTCTACTTCAGTTATTCCTGGCTGTGAAGCATCAGTATCACTATCAGGATCAAACAGATACCACTCAACCAGCCATCTCCCCTCCCAAAACAGAAACATGATGCTAAAAAGTGGAACATCAATATCGGACATTAACATCGGCCCAGTTTTACATATCGCATCGATACCAATATTCTAAAAAATGACCAATATCGGCCGATACCGGTATCAATACCGATATATCGTGCATCCCTAATTTTAAATGTTGTCCCTGTGATGCGTTGTTGACCTGTCTAAAGGTAAACGCTGCTTCTTGACTGACAGCTGGCATTAGGCTCCAGTTTCTGTATGACCCTCATCAGGATCCAGACTGTTCAGAACATCTATGATTAAGACTTTAGAGCTTTTACTCTAAATATTGAACATGTGTTGAATTGTGTGGATGCGAAAGTGGATTTCACTGCCTGGCTGTTTGGATTAGTGAACAAACCCTGTAGGAACTTAATGGAATATCACGTGTTGTTTTCTGATGTAGAAAGCTATGCTTTTGAAAGCACAAAAACAAAATAATGTTAGTTTAAAAAGAAACTAAATTGTTGTTTTGCTAAAAACTGAACAGTAATGACCCGGTTTAACCTGTTACATACAAACAGTCTGTGCTTGAAAAATAGGAAAGTGGAAAAGCAGAGGACAAAGAAAAAAATGTCAGACCTAAAACAAAATCATCAGTGGTTGGCACAGCTAACCAGTTAGCWTCAGGAACTCATAATCCWCTAACTTTGAAAACCGTTAGCAGWAGGGTKGGGCATAATCGTATYGTGTGCAATTAATCRTCAGAAAAACAATAATYGATTATTTTWTGGCACTTCACGATTAATACGATTAATGCCTCCAGGCAGACTGAGTGGAGATTTCCCGGTCAGCCCGCTCGATGCTCCTCTTCGCTTCAAATATGATGGACATTAAAAAAAAGTTCTGTAATTTATTTATTTATCAACACAATTTAAAATTTGATGTATAGCCTGAAGTCTGTAATTTTGACATAATTTGGAATAGATTTTTATGAAGAGCAATACTTTCCCTCTAAATTGGTCATGTGACTAAGACATAAGGGACTCCAGGGGATTAATCGTCAAATTAATCGTTGTCAGCTAAATACCACAATTAATAGTGATGAATTTTTTTGCCAATATTGCCCAACCCTAGTTWGCAGACCAATTAGCTTCCTCTAAATTAGGTTTTTGTCAACTTTGGGCCTACTAACAGCTAAGTGACAGGCTAACATTTACAGGTTTGTGTCAGTCCCACCAGTCTTCAGCTCCAAGGAGACAAAGACGAGTCACGCAGACTAACAGCCGTCTGAGCGACTGTCTCTCATTTTTACCCGTTTAGCTGTTTAGCATTAACTTCCTTCCACCAGTCTTATGTAAAGCACCTCAGTGATACTTGAGTAAAAGTACAAGTATCATACCATAAAATTAGTAAAAGTTAGTCTCCTAAAAATATTATCAGAGTAAAAGTCCTAAAGTATCTGACATTTACTGTACTTAAGTACATACATCTGAAATTTACTTTTTGAGTATTAAAATTAAAAGTATTGAGTAAAAGTGAGCAGTTAGAATTTTCAAAATGACATCTRTTGTGAGGTGACCTTCACAAAATAATTTTTCCTTAAGGCCACAATAACTGTAATGTTGAAACATGTGGGACGCCCAGACTTCCTGTTTCAGCTGCATAAATATCTCTACCACAGTCATCGTCATACTAGGCTACATACAGCTGATATGTTCTGCAGTGTGATTTGTGTCATGCACAGGTGTTATGGATTACATACGAACAAGGGTGTGAGAATGGTATAATTATACTTCTCATCCAACCACAGTTAATTGCTGAAAATCATCTACAGCAGAGGAACAATGGAGTCATATGTGGTGAGTCAAAAGTCTCAGGACATTTATTTCAGAAAGACAAAGGGGAATAACAGGGGCCTATCTTTTTGACCATATCCAGAACATGGCTGCCATATTGGATTAAAAAACGGTGACTTTCGACTCACCCTGTATTTTTATGAAACTGGAAAATTGCRTCAAAGAGCTCAAAGATGCATCGACCTTCAGATAGTATAGGGACCATTTTCAGCTATTAGCTGTTTGGA